GGGATCAAGTTCCCAGAAACAAACAACAAAAAGACCCCCCTGAAGTCCCCCAGGGGAGTATAGTTCTACTCTGGGACACACGGGTCATGGTGACCAGGAATGGACGGGACGACCACGTGGGTGTGTTTCGTCTCTTTTTCTCCTTCCTTCTTTGAGCCGGTTCCCCAGACTCCAGAGGGAGGCAGTGACTCAAACCAAACCACCGCCAGGAACCTGTCCTCGGTGGTTATTTTTACCTCTAACTGGGACTTAACTTGTTATTTTAAAACCTTCCCCTGAACCCAAGTGACAATTGAAGAGGAAGGCTATTGCTTGGTGACTTTGCTCCACCAACTGGTTCTTACCGGTTTGTAATGTCAACGCAGGCCAGTACAGGCCAGCCCTGTGAGGGCACTCACAAACGAACATAGCCCTGAAACATGCGGATTCCAAAGAGAACTGCTTGCTCATTTCCCTCAATGAAAAGTTGTGAAAATATAGCTACAATGGGGCAGGGACCCATGGGATTCAGGAATAAAAGGTCACACACCCCACCCTCAGCCCTGACGCTCAGATTTTAAAAGACTTCAGCATCATCCTGGAGGGGTCCCACTTCCAGGTCAGAAGGGAGTTGATGCTTTGTCTCTCGTTGCTTTTCTTCAGTTTTCACTTTCTCTCTTGAATGCCCCTGGCTGCCCTAGATGGAGCACCCTGAGCCAACTGAACCCCACCCCAGCCCCATTTCTCGGCAGTTGGTTGGAATGGGATTGATAAACTGTTTCATGGAGCTCCAGAGATCCAAGAAAGGGAGTGTCGCGTAACTAGAAGTAAAATCTTAGTCCACTTGTGGCCCAGTAGTGGTGTGCTTGGCTCTGGAATGAAAGGTGAGTGGTTTGAACGGAAAGGTGTGGCAGTCTGTTCCTGTAGAGATTTCAGATTAGGATTGTGTTAGGCAGGGTTCGCTAGAGAAACAAAACCAGGACACTTATGATTATATATGTAGTATAAGAATAGGTGTATATTGCGAGAAGGAATGTAACAGCTAATTAGTCCACACAGCAGTACAAAGGGCTCAATTCAACTCTTTGTGGGAACAATTAGTATACTGAAGGTCCAAGGTCAAGGAAGCAGACAGTGGAGTCTACCCTCAGGCAAGACAGGCAGAGTCTCCCATAGGCATCAGACAGCAGGGTGGGGCAGCAACAGTCAGTAGCTCAGGTGTGTAGTGAAGCAGGCTCTGATGGGTCTCAAGTTCTAGTGATTCATGGCAAGGCTACATGATCCAAGGGTTGGATCAGCCCACAGGTAGTACAGCCCACAATTGAGGCAAAGAACTAGCTCAGGCAGCAGCACACTCCACTGATCACCAGGGAGAGAGAGATGGGAGGCTGGCCTCGGAAAGCGGTTATCTCAGTCACCCTCCAATCAAGCTTCGACCTGATTCAACTCTACCCACATGTTGCTACGGAGGCCTAGTTGGCACAATAAACCTAACTATCAAAGGACTATGAATGCTGTGGGGGTAGTGCTACTCTGTCCAACAGGGTGGCGATGGGTTGGGATCAACTCCAAGGCACCGACATTCTTGGTAAAGTCAGAAGGAGTCTCTGGGTGGTGCAAACAGTTACACAAAGTGCTTACTTACTAACCCAAAGGTTGGCGGCTCCAACTCCTCCAGAGGCACCG